GTGCCCTTCAATTCAATACGTAGATAAAAACTACGTCCAGCACCAGTATCCGTACCCGTAAGTAGATCATGTATTGCCTCACATTAATGGCGAACAAAATATGAAGATGTTTGTCAAAGCGAAAAATAGTCACATGATGGTAAATAAAGTACAACCTCATCAAATCCTTTTATTACCTAGAGTAAATCCTATTCATTCACTAAATGGGTTTGACTTGTCTACAAGAAAAATTAACGATGAATTAAACACGTAAACTAGATTTAGAGCAATAGTTGTGCGTGAGCCTGTCGCATGTTCGTGTCTGAGAGTCGTCAAAATGGTAGTGGCCGCCTATGCTGTTAAAGTGCATAGTTGGAATGGGATATAGCAACAACAGGCTGTGTAGACGTACTTTGTTCGATCTGAAGCGAGGGCCCTCCGTCAGGCCTAGGACATGGTCTACGAAGCTACTATTGGCGAACAATCTGGCTTCATGTTCTTGTTGTCTTTTTTCCTAGATTTATTCTGCTTCTAGCTTTTTTTCGTGACCCTCTCCACTTTAACCTCCACTTGCGCGCTCTCACAGTCTTAGTTAACCCGTTTCTAAAAGGCGGCGGAGTCCGGGTATATCCTTCTTCGGGCGAGAGAAAACCAATTTTTGCCGCTTTCGTTTGTTTTTATGCGGCGACCTGCGTCTTCAGTGGTCGCGGAGGTCGTGGAAGTCTGTGGAAGAAGTGGGTGAAGACAAGATGGAAAAACGGTGGAACAGGCGCCAGTGATGGTGGTGATGCCAGAGATGTCTGCGTTCCATCGACTACTTCGACTGCTCCGATACAGGAGCTCTTCTTTTCCATCCGCATTCGGCTATTGGCAGTAGCCATCGCCTTGCATCGTGTCTTTGGTTCCCGATATTGTATTGCCAGCTCGCTGCCATTTTGATCCCCACAGTCGTTATATTAGAGGCGAAGATAACTGTCCTGTAGTCAGTACACATGGACCACCGACCCATCCACGGACCAGTTAACCACGAAAACAAGATAACATTACACGTGAAGCAAAAGTACCACAACGCCGCTACCAGACGCGGTAGCCGCTTTTGCCTCCGGGGCCGCATGGCTGCCACAGTCGCCAGTGGTTCCAATAGAAAAAAACTAGTGCAACCAGCGAGCTCAGACCCCATTATAAGCTATCCTCGTCGGGCTTTACACGACTGCGTTCCATGAAGGCGCTGCTATTAGAACGACTAACCGACTAGCTAGCTCGCTCGAGGAAATGGAACGGGCGGTAGGGAGACGGGGAAAAAGTGTGTACTTAGTGTCCTTGATGACAGTCAGGCGCGTAAAAATCCTCATTCTAATATTACCCAGTGCTTGGGGGTGCGCACAGATTCGTACTTATACGCATCTTGCTGCTGAATGGTATGGTAGGGTGCCCATGAGCAATGGGCTATAGCAGCAGTGGTTTTGGGCTGCAACTGTTGCCGTCACGGCTTCTATCTTCGCTACAGTCGGGGAGAACATAATGGTGCGACGATGGCCTAGAGCATGATGCGAGAAAAGGAAGAATATGGGATATGAACTCAAGGAACTGGTATGGACTTTTAGGAGAAACTAGGGGTTGTCCAATGGCGGAACAGCGCGAGGATGCAAATCATGAAGAGAGTTTTTCATCAAAATTAATCGTCGGCTCATAGTTTCCTTTACGCTACTCTTTCTCAGCATTGCTTTGGACATGGGAGGTACGTTTTTCCCGCCTGGACGGGCTCTTTGCGAACAGGGATAACTTGCCATCTTGTTTTATTCGTGCTGGAATCAGAGTGGGAACGTTGGATGGAGCAGCGGTAGTGCATACAAGAATTCGCAAAAGTACGCTACTTTTGCTGCCAACGAACCACGGACAGAACAGCTTCTTAGGCCGCTAACTGCTTCTACTTCTAAAGTATCAGCTCTCTCCCTGCATATGACGACAGCAGTTGTCGAAGCGCCATCGCCTATCTGGAGTTGCGCCCCGCGACGGACTGTTTTCTTTGACTGTTAGAAGAAACGTCGCAGAGAAAGTTAGTGTTCGTTATCTTGCCGCGCCGGTCAAATTGTTTCATTTGTGGATCCCTCTTCTTGCTCAGTAGCAGCTCGGCCTCGTTCGCCCACTCCAGGCGATCCTCATTTCTTGGCTGTGCTCTTTTAGGCGCCTTAAAGAAGCACGTGCTTTACTCATATTTACTCATATTACTCAGGCTGGGTCGACAGACAGAAGCGGCAAACAGCGAGGGCGACACGTCGGCAGTAGGTTAGGTAGGCTCGAACACATTTTTCTCTCCTTCCCCACTCATTGTGGGCTGCGGGTACTTGTCTAGTACATTGCCCCCCTCCCCCCGCTTTTTCTTCGTTCTCATGCTACCAACAATACTCTTCAGCCGTCGACCGCTTCTTTTCTTAGGCCATTACAAGAGCATCAAGCGCGCTTGGTTGCTCGCCCTTTACCCAAGCAGATTGAAGAACGCGTTCTTGATGTCAACGCTAGTGGCAAGCGTGCCCAAGCAAGCTTGACTGTACGAATTTTTTTACACCTAGGACACAATTGCCCAGTCTATTACGATGACTTAGAAGGCCACATATTCTCCTTACGCTGTTTTGCATACCCGTCGGCAACATGAAACCACCATTCTTGGAGACCATTTTATTCTCTTCGCAAACGGTGTGTTATCAAGCTAGCACTTAACACTGACCTACTAGGCTCTGTTTCGTATGCCGTTTGTCCTATAGGTAAGATCCATTGCGTAAATTCTTCTATGTGTATGATTTAAGTGTTCTAGACGTATCCTTCGATACGACAGAAGGCGAGATAGGTGTCATCAGAGCCTTTTTTTCTATCAATAATACCTGAGCAGGCTAAGGAAATACAGTACACTAGTTCTAGTTACTAATAATCATGATAGGGTACATAAGTTATTAAGGGTGAAGGAAAATAATGGCCCAACCAGTTTGGCTTAGAAACATTGACCTTTTTTCTAAGTAGTTCCACATAAAATGCTAATAGATAGTAAACTCTTACTTTCGAAGCTTCTTTACAAGCATTGTTATCTTACATGTACCACGAGTATAGACAGCCTTTTGTTAGTGAAATGCTAACTGGTATAGATATTGCATTGCTATAGAACCGTCGAGTAAAAAAAAAGTTCATGGAGTCTCGAAAGGCAGTTTCGATGTCTTGTTGAGATTTGGGTTTGTTTATGTCGAGATTTTTAAAAAAGCGGTAGTCTGCGGATGCAATATCTGACGAGCATGGTAGACGACAGAGACTCTCCAAGCGTGAGCCGAACTGTGTAAAGTTGAGCGTTTTTCGTTGTGTGTGGACAAATTTTCAAAATTACCACTCCGATGTAGCATGAAATTCTGCCTTCGGGCGGGTCGTACTGAATCTAATATACTCCAGTAGAACTATGGATCAGCGGCGTTGTCATACCAGTAGCTGTCTTACTTTTCCTATATTTTATTAAACAGAAGACTTACACAGCAAACCGTACGTCACTACAGTGACAAAATCGAACTTCCATTCGTAAACCACCAGATTTTTATGACTATCAGACCAAAAGTCCGAATGTCTGAGTATATGGGTTTGGATTCTAAAAGGGACAAGTGCACCGCGGAAACAAAAGCTTATCATGAAATATTGCGTCCTACTCAAATAGTTTCGTCTCATGATGACCTAACGTCAATGACCTAACGAGTATACATTGGTTTATTAATATATAATTGTAATTTGTAGGGATTAAAAACGTAGCAGTGACATAACAAAAAGTCATATTATGATTCAATGAATAAACGGAAGTTTACAGCTTTATAAAACCAGTGCGAGTAACTTTGGAACGTTCCCCGATGCCAGCCAACGTCAAACGATATATACGTAACGCCGCGTTCAACCTAGAAAAAAACTTCGGTGGGCTGTTTATCATAGTTTAGATCGTTGATTTGCTACTTGTCATATTATACGAAAACCAATTTTCTTTTAGAATAAAATAACGAAACATAGCGTATCGTTGTAGGAATTTGAGAGAATACCAGCTATTGCCAGCTTTTTCCGCGCCGGACGAACCAATATCAAAAGTTTTTTTGTTCAAATTCGAAAGTGAACGCCATTGCCAATTTTCATGTGGCCTCTGAAAAATATTCTCACGCGAAAAACGGAAAAATCCTCAATGGGACTTAGCTTTTATTCAAAAAGCTTGACAATCCGTAAAAATGACTTAACTGGCCAATTTTTGATACTGATAATTCGAGATGAACGGCTGTTTTATCGGACAATTCAAATGAGCTTCGTTAGCGTTTTTTTTTTAGCTCCAACAAGTTAACCCTTACTAATACCGTTTGATGCACGCTCGATATATAAAGGCATTTGCTAATTAGAGAAAGAATATTTTGAAAATGATAATTTAGTGGTTTAAATCCCAAAAGTGTTAGTTGTGGTGGATGATGCTAATATGTGTTTTTCTTTAAATTCAGTCTCAGAATGTGGACGCGCCACATTTTGATCGCAGAATGATTTCCTTTTCTTTTGTTTCACTACATCGCTCCGTCTCCCAACAGGGCTTAACGACGTCAAAAAACATGGAGACAGCATTGGACCCTTAGTTACTCCGAAAGCTATCATTGTAAGCACGAAAAGATAATTAAAGTTTGTTTTACAACACCAATCCATCAAATATCGCAACTATGTTGAAACCTTCAAATGTTGCGTCTGGTCACATTTAGCAGGCTGCGGTAACGCTGGCGGCAATCTGTAATCTATGTATTTTCCTTGTTATGTTACTAAGAGTGCAATTTCATTTTTTTGCGAGATTTCGACCTTGAGGCACCTATTTTATCATACCCGATAAAATGCTCAAAGAGATGCTTAGTGTTTAGGCATCCTGGTCGCTTCACCTGATGGCTTCGATGGGCCTAATCTATGTTTTCGATGATCCTCTCATTAGGAGTACCATCGAACAACGATAATCGTCGTCCGGTCCATTGGAACCTCACATTGGCTATCAAACAGTTACGTTCGCGATAATTAAGCCGATAAGCTTTTTCCCTGTGCTTCTAAATTATACATCCAGCATTCGCCTATTCCATTTGAATAGTTTATCGTCACATAATCACTATCATTCCATTAAATTCTAATCAAACCGGTCCTGCTAGCTGGAATCCCTTCCTTCGCGCAGAAATGGCTCAGCCGGCCACGGGCTTGCCTTGGCTTATCCGAGAGCTGAGGCACTAATATGAGCTGATGGAACCTGCGGTCTTCTCACTGTGTTTCTGACAGCGGTTCCCTTGGCCTTTTGGTTCTCAAGGCACTCTTTTCATACCAGTTAAAATCAGCCAGTCACGGTCATTTCTGTTCCTACTATGGCTTTTAGTTCCATGACACGGGAATGGATCCATAAGATCTTTTGTGAGACTAATCGAAGTGACCTTCATTAGGCGACGATATTTTTCCGCAATAGCCTTTCGCAGTTCTTGTCAAGCCAACCGAGCACATCAATCTACAAACCGTGCTTAGGCTTGTCTAGAAACCCGTAAAGTAACAGTAAGCGTTTAAGAAACGAGGGACAATCCGTCTGATTGCTATAACCAAACGGTCCGTGTGGTTGTCAAGAAGGACACATGCAAACACGGGGACTATGATGCGTTTAGAAAATGTTTAGCGTATTCTAGTAGTGTTTCACAGAGCATAAACTGCTTAGAGGGGTTTGCCGAGGTTTTGAGGTGCAACTGTATATGATGAATTTCGAACATAGCGCTTTTAAAACCAAATCATTAGATTTCGTTAACAAATTAGCCACGGCACTCTGAGGCTGACTAAAACATTTACTGGTCGAAGATTGCGAAATATCAGCCTCTCTATCAATCAATACGTCATTAATGTAGAAAGTGACATTAGAAGTTAATAGCTCATTTGCATAGCGTACAACGACTCACATATGTCAAGGCCTTGTATTTTTTTTCCTTTACGCTATTGGCGAATTTAATGTCAAGGTGTAAGGAGGGCAAAAATACTTGGTCACATTAATGTTTTATGCAGGTCTACTTGTGACCGTCGGTGAAAACTGGATTGAAGAAAGGATGTATTTAATTTTATCATATTTCTCTCTTAACCATAGGTACACTAAATGGACTTCTAGTTTTAGACCGTACCCTGTTTGGACACGAATTTAACCTTGAGACAGCGCCTATTCTGAGGAGCTTGCTCGACGGTGTAAAACGGACCATGTGCTGTATGGAATAGCCAGCAGGTCGACGTACCGAAGGAAGCATGATCCGTTAACATCCGAAGCATAAACCTAACGAAAGAGGAAGGATAGGAGGAAAAGACAGCGCCACATTGTAATGAAAGATGAACATATCCGGATGAGCGTAAAATGAAATCCTTGAATGGACCTTTAAGATTAGTGTTGGAAAAGCAGTCATTCGATAACCAACGCAAGCCGAAGGAACTTCTTCTGAATTGATGCAAACTATTTAGGTTGAAAGCCAGTTTACTTACCACACATACCAAAGTTACACAAATTCTACCATCGAAAAATCTGAAATACATTTCTGCGTATATTTTTCGCGTAGCAATTTTTCGTTGCTGCCACGTCAGCTTCAGCCGTTGCCACCGCTCTGGTCGTTCTTCCGTTTCCCCTAGAATTATACCATTTTTCATCCGTCCTTTCCACTAAACCTGGCTATGTTCTGTTCAGCTTGTCGCGAGATTAGGGCCAACCCAGATACCTCAGTGGGCCTCGTTGACCGTCGCTCCTTAATTTGTGGATTCGCTTTTTCAGCCTAACCGCCGGGGTGGTGGCGAGTACTGGCTTTTCGTTATTTTCCTTGACTTCAGCCACAGTCGGCCTTCAGTCTCAATTGGGGAATGGAAAAATAAAGTCTGCAAAGGGTGAGGAAGTCTGTTGTGCTGCCGCTCAGCCTTGTCCTTTTTGCGTTCGTCATTATAGTAACAAGAGCTATAACGGCCGTAATTGTTGCTCTTTGCTTCCTATTCTCCGCGCTCTGTCGTCGTCATCGTGTGTTTTTTTTTTTTTTCGTCTCTTGAGGGACCCACTCACTCGCTTGTGGAAATTACGCTTCTCACGAGACGGGATATTCGTTTATCCGAATGGAACAGCAATTCGGGTGGAAATGGAAGATGGAAGAGCTGCTGCGAACGACGTACAGTTACGCTTTGAGACGAATTTGCTGAATGAGCCTTCTGCTTCAGCGCAACTACGATCCAAAACATTGGGCGTTACACACCTCACAGAAGTTATTAATAGCTTCCTACATGTAAGCCGGTTTATCAAATAAGACATAAGCATCTCCTTAGATGAACACCATATTATTCCAAGGGTCTACTATCATATGATATTATATAAGTTAAAACATAGTTCGTAACGTTAGCTAATATTTCAGCAGATTAATAATAATTACAGTTGTTGTTGTTATTATTATTATTGTTGCAATAATTCGGCATTGCGAAAAGATGTGTGAATTCGTCTAATTCAAATTATTATTCTATAAATGGTTTTATGAAGGTTTGAATGAAGAATGGTTTATCTATGAAGGCATAGTCCCAAAATTTGCCTAAGTCAACCGCATTTGCCCACTTAAATCTCTCCAAATATGTCTCATAAGTAGTCAATACACTTCTGACTAGTTGGAGTGAACGAGAAGAGCGTAATTGTGCAGTGTGGTGGCCGCTGACACTGTGGCCTATCGCAACTGGCCTACGACACTGTCGCCATTGTCGTTCAAGACGCCAAATAACCTTCCCCCACCCGCGGTGTAACCGACCGTCTAAGACGAAACCTAGAAGAAAGAGAAAAAGACACAAGAATTCGAAGAACAGCACTAGCGCAGGGTAACGACGCGATGAAGAAGCCGAACAAGAAACAGAAAGCGGAGTCTACGTCCATGAGGGACAAGAGGGATCACGTAGAAAAGGAGCATGAATCGGACGAAGGATAATGCTGATCTAAACATGCCACCGAACCAGCGATTTACAATGTGTTAATACGCCCAGCAGCTCTGCCTGAAGACCAATGGGGTACTGCCAGCGATGGCTAAAAGGTAGCTAGCAACTGACTGGTTCGTTGTCAGGCAAGTTAGCAAAGGCTCAGTTGTTGCTCGGCCAGCCGAGCACTGGCGGAACCGGTCAGGCCAATGCTAAATGAGCCTTGAAACAATATTGGATTTATGTCCCACCCGCCACCCCCCAGCTGTTGGTTAGATCATAGCGTGGCATTGGCTGAGGCGATCTGCTTCATATAAACACGTAGACTCACGCATACACAGTGAGCCTTCTGGGCCGTGTCTGCCAAAACAAGCCCAACCTGGGTAACCCGTCCTCCAGCAATGGCCACATTGTAACGAGCCCGTCGTCCGGGCCATCTATACAACGAAATTATATCGCCACACATGGCTAAGCTCATATATATGTAGATGCTTGCGTTCTCGCCACTTTAGTGTGCCACATAAGCTCGCTTTTACTTTTACCAACAGGCGAATCTCACTTTGCCTGAAGAACGTCCTGTGCAAATTACTGGTTCGCCGGTTTGCGAGTAGCAGTATTTCGAAGGGTTAGGCACCAGGTAGCGGATTTCGTTGAATCACAGTTTAAACGATCTCTAGCTCGCCAAGAGGTCATTCTTCGCTCTAATTTTACTTTTGTCAGACGCCTGGTCCAATCATTTTCTATGCTGCTATCGTGATGGCGGATCTATGTCTCTATCACACAGTAGTAGCACAAGGTTTCCTTTACTGCCTTTTTCTCATTCTCTCACTTGCTGTATTTTTTAATTTACTTATTTTTGAAGTTTTTTTTTCACTTTAATGAAACGCCTTCTGGTCCTGACGTCCACAAGTCTGCTCAAGGATAAAAAAAAATAGCGTCATAAATAGGTTCCTGGGAATGCTGTGAAAGATAGGACACTACAAGTTGATAAAAAAAAAATAAAAAGAAAGCATGGAAACCCCAAAACGTTTTTGCATTTTTCTGCTTTTTTTTGGGTTTTTCTTGCCACCTGAGTAACTTTATTATGACACCAGCAGAACGAAGAGTGATAAAACGCGAGACAGGGGGATATCGTTGGATGCGATGTGTAAATTAAACAAGTGTGTAGACGCACAACAGAAGAACGGATGCTAGGAAAAGTGTACGCACAAAATCGCTATTTTCTAGGTAAGATCTGCAGAGAAGCTGACCGACTTGCTGAAGTACACTAGACGGCCGGACCTATGAGTAGATGGAGCACGCTAGATGGACAACAGCCCCTTTTTCAGGTCTTGTCCTCCGACCACCCCTCTCAATAAACCCTTTTGAATTCCACTATATCTCGTTCGACGTTATTCTCATAGTTTTCAGTACGTAGTATTCGCTTTGCTAGCATAATGTTTTCAGAGTGTTTTCGGCTTTTTTTCTGAATCGTTTGATTGACACTGGTCTGGCTGCCGTTCTTTCATCGGCCCTGTGGCCTTAGCGGCATAGTGAAGGCCTGATGTTTGATGCTAACGTACCTTGATACTCGTTATTCAGCCGAAAGACTAAATACATATGGACGTAATTCGTAAATATTATAGGTAACCTACAGGATCTATAAGATATTTGTAACAAAGCACCAGCGGTGAAATATATCATGGGCTTGAAGTTTTTTAGAGAATTACTTAGAGAAGGAAAGTACCGCAACAGAGAGTGTCATTAGAAAAATATATTCTGTCAAATAGAATGAGAGAGAAATCTTACCAGGGTGGTAGAATAACACAACGTCCCAATAGTGATTCCCTGTTTTTCAACTACTCACTAATTTATATTAATTGTTGGCAAAATAAATACTGTTAAGTACCATCTGGTAATCTCTGCAACCCGCTTTCGATGGTGAAACAGCGTTGATATTTTAGTATCTCCTTGCCACTAACTGCTGCTTACGCCCATAATGCGAGAACCCCTGTTGAGCGCGCTGAAATGTACTTCTCAGAATCTATACGTCAAATCAGTGCAAACAATATTACCAGACTATCTATAAAATTACCTTACCTTACGTACGAACATGTCCTCACGTTTACCAAAGCCATCGTTGTTGACAACTCGTCGCAAAGCTACACCCCCAATGGCTCTTTGTAGGTAAATTGTTTTTTAATTGCCTTCATAATGTCTAAGTTATATAGCAAATATAGTCTAAAATATACTATTTTGATAGCATTGATAACGTGGTTTATCGGTTAGAGCAATTTGGCTACAGGGGGACACGTAATATAATTGACATGCGACCGTAGAACCAATTATTTTTAACTAATTTTAATCTTCTGATAGCATTTTATCATTTTTTAATCAAGAACTCACTTGAAGCATACAGCTAGCTATCTTATATTGTTAGTGATATTAATTATTATCTTAATAATGAAAATCACTTGCACGTTGAACGTAAACTAAAGGGTCTCGTCGTGTTACCTAGGTTCATCAAACTTTAGAATAGTTTTGGTAATAAGACGACTTCTAAAAGGCCTCGATGCAATCGAAAAACAAGCTACACGACAGACACCTTATTAAGCCTGCCGCCTTTGCGAGAACCGCATTCATACTTTTCCGCGTTTTCCCTAGGCATCTCAAAGAGCTCGAAGGTGCGGAAGAGATTTAATTACGAAAACGTAAAGTAGAACTTAATTGAGAATCTGTTTAGGAAAAGCCTTTGCACATCGTTGCCCTAACTATTGCTATTTTTTTAGTCCTGTTAGAAATAGCTGGCATATAAACATAGAACCGGCAGCTTCAGCTCGAATGATTTAACTAACTTCTTCTAAAGGCTATCGTGTCATGCAGGCGCAGCGTGGAATGGCCAAGTGAAGATGAGTGTACCGGGCATATCGTTTCTTGACTTTTCTTACACTACTGGTCAATCCAATAGGAAGCTCGCGTGGTCTGACAACCTGCTACTTGAGCTTACCTTGCCCGCATTTTGCATCATAGAGCTCAAGCCCCACCCCGGTTCTGGTACTCGTTTCACGGCCACAGCGGTGGTCGGCCATGGCCTCTTCCTGTCCTACCATTCGCTGCTACTGCTACTTTCCCTACTACTGTCTGTACGAATTCGGCCGAGCTCATAGAGTGCCGTGGCCTCTGTTTCTTCATTTCGGCAGCTAATAAATGTGGCAGAAGTCGACCAAAGGGAAAAGGACTCTCGATATGTTTGTGCTATTCAGAAAGCGGACGAGAGTGCGCGAGCGAGAACGAGACGTGTTCTAAGCTGTGCAAACTTTTTATTACGCTTTCAGTAATTCCGCTTGTCGTCCAACGGCCTGACGCATCTGACAGCATGTCAGTAGTCGTAGTAAAAAGAGAAATACAGCGTTGACTCTACACATATGAATACGTTCCAAGCGATATCAATTTGAAGGACAGACTTCCTACCTGTATGTATCTCTATGTTCGTCTGTAAGTACAAGGCAGATCTGATTTATTTCAATAATAATTACATTTATAACTTATTTTGGATACGTCAGCCCAGCTACAATCTAGTCAAAGAAATTTTGCTAAGTGCAAATCACTTTATGGTCCGCCAACTTAAAATGGTTTAAAAACAGTGACGATTTTGTTTGGGTTAAAAAAACAAGACGTGCAGCTTCCTATTTTGAAAATAGCGTAGGAGAATCTGAAAAAACGGTCATAAGCATACTATAATTCACACCGTGGTTTAGGATTACTAGTTTACATAAATGAGAGTCTATAAACGCTAATTCGAGACATAGCCTATGTCACACATCTGACTTACGCAAATTGTAAGACCAGAAAGAACGAATCGTGCGATATCTTTGTCGTAAGCTTTTAGTTGGCTGATATGAGCTTCCATAATCTACGAAGGCGTTCTATAAGTTCCGATGTCATCCTAACCTGCGTCTTAGGTAGAAGATACACGTGTCAATTTACTATTGTTCATAAAGGTCGTCTAAGCGGAAAAAACAACAAGGCAGGATGGTAACTGTGAGCTTTAACAGAGCAAAGGAGCAATTTACTTAAAGGAGTTTGCTCTCAGCGATTTTCGCCATGGCGCAGTGCTAATGCGTTCGCCTACCAGCCGAAAGGACGCTTAATGACAAGGTGGTCGAGATCTGAAACCGAGCGTTGACAAAAAAGTCTAGCCGTTTGAAGCAATGCCT